ACACAGTAAAGGAGTTTAAGCATGCGTGGGATAGGCACAAGGCTATCCTAACTATAAGATAAGGCCAGGGACTAATGAAAGTATTTAGAAAATTGGGCAGACTAGATGGGCTGAATGGTTCTTATCTGCCGTCACATTCTATGTTTCTATACTGCCACTAACCTACACAATTTAAAATAATAAAACCCCAAACTTCATTTCTTCCCTAATTAGCATGTAAATCCCTTTTTGGGTTTCTGGGAAATTTAGTTACCTGTGCGTCATGGCTCTTCACCAGTAATAAAATGTGCACTAAGAATCACACGATTCTGTATTATGTTCTGACTGATGCATTCTTTCAATTTAGGTGTTTGGGGTCTACATTTATTGTTCAATATATTCCTCTTCCAGAGCTGTTCCTACTCCCCCAAATTAAACTGAACCTACAGGAAGTGATGGAAGGTGCAGAGATGACCCTGACATGTGACACAGTTCCTAAATATCCCACAGACCTGATGTTTGCTTTTTACAGAGATGGAGAGATGGTGCAGGGGTTCAATTCATCCACTAGGTACCAGGTCCAGGCAGCTCAGCTGAAGGACTCAGGAAATTATACCTGTGAGGTCAGAACATCAAATTATACTATAAAGAAGAGAAGCCATGTGTTACATATTCAAGTGCAAGGTGAGTGGGGAACTTGGTTACCCATATAACTCTCCTCTCAATGGGGAAAATATATACAAACAAGGTCTACACAGAAATATACACAGAACCTCTATACAGGGAGATACGCTGAAATATATAGAGATATACACAGTACGTGTATACAGGGAGGCATATAGAGATATACACCTATATATAGTGATATGCTGAGAGATATATAGAGATAAGAATTTATAACGTTATTCAAAGATATATTGGTGGTAGCCCTGCTAATAGATAATGCACCCCCAATTAATAATGCCATTGTATCCCGTTATTTAATCATTCAAACACAATACATTCTGTCATCTTGTAAAACAACATTTAGAAGATCGATCCTCACCCAACATTCTCTGATGTTTAATTAGGGGAGGGAGAAAGCCCTTCCCTAATGTGGCTCGTCTCTGGAGATAACTATATTGCCCCATGTGTATTTTCCAGTCAATACTCCCAAGTGGAGCGGAATAAGTAACTGATGAGAAAAAGTCAAAATCAAAAACGAATATAGCTGTTTGAATCGTCGGTCAAGTAGAGTGTTATGTACTGTTACTTATTCCTCTCCACATGGAAGTGTTTACTGGCTAGCAAATCGAAGGGACAATATCGTTATTTCCACAGACTAGTGACATTAGGAAACAGGCTGTTCAGCTTTCTCCTTGCCTCTTGTACTCTACTAAATACTTAATTTAGAACCTGAATACTTGGACTTGGTTTAGGAACGAGGGGGTTTAGTAGTGGTGTCTGATTACTATTATTACACATTCTTTATTCATTTGACCATAAATGTATCATTATATGAACGAAGTGGCACTATTATATAGCATGTATTATGATGACCCCTAGAGGCTGAGATGAGCATTACGTATGTTGTTTTTTTTTTTTTTAATTTCTTTTCTTGACATATATAATTGGTAAATAGTTGTACTAGAGGAGAGTGATTCAAATAGACCACCAACTGCCTCTTAACAGGTGGTTCTCACTAACTGTATCAGAGATTATAGACCTTTTTATATAACTAAGATTATTAATACTGGTAATATTGATATTTGGAACTTAGTTATATATGGATTTTTAATCATTTTTTTTAAGACACAATAACAATAAAATCTAGGTTTTAGATATTGTCACATCACTTATTGTGCCTTTTTTTGTTCTTTAATTTGTTCTTATGTAACCTTGCTGTAATTGTATAGTGAAAGAAGGCACAGCTTCTATTATGTGCCAAAAGGGAATTTATGTAATTTTTATATCGAGTTACTGGTGGCTGAGCACAAGCTCCAACACTGAATAGCAGAAAGTTTCCCTCATAGATATGGCTGTCTATTAGAGTTTGGGCCATTCTCATGAATTCTGTTTTGACTACTTGAATTTTTTTGAGTACTTGAATATTCTTAGGGTTCGCAGATATGGACCCCTTGCTCACTGTGCCTTGATGGTATCAGCAATACCTCACTGATGAAGTCCACTGACAAAGGTTGGCATTTCAGTTTTGGATGTCCTTGTGCATTCAATCATTCTAATGTGAATTACAGGCACTTACCACCAACTACCCTATCGCATACTGCAGAATACAATAATCTGTAGTAATTTAATATAGTAATTAAATGGCAATTACATAATAAATAGTGATATTATAATAAGCGTTCCTTATACAATAAGATGTTATACTATAATAAGCAGCCAATGGTTATGGTCCTTGGAGTGTTCGGCTCTACACATTCGTTATCCTTTTTGCCTTTTCCTGCTAGACTAACAATAGAAATAAAGCCGCTATCAATTTTTAAATTCTGTTTCCCTCCCCCCCCCCACCCGGCCCAATTCATGCAGTTTTTTTTATGTTTTTCCATTTTTGTGGGTGGTGGGTGAAGTGAAACAGCTTATCTAATCACTAGTTCTAAGACACAGTAACAGTGTTGATACACAGAGGGCAAAGTGAACCTGATTTAAAACTGTCTGGGTTTAATCGGTCTCAAATGCTTTCTAAGATTTATTGTGATTAGGTGTGATTTTCCTTTAGCCATGTAGAGACCGGTCTGTACTTCATTTTCCCAGTAGCCAATGACTAACGTTGCCTGCTTTTTTCTAGACATGCCCACAGATCAGGAATATCTGTCTCTAATTCAAATTGCCTCTCTGGCGGTTGTACTACTCAGCGTGATTACCCTGGTCTGTGTGTTTAGACGTAGACTGTCTCGTGTTTTCTGTAACTGTCTCCATGATCAAACTGAAAAAGGTAAGTAAGCATCTGCCTACAAGTTTGTAATTTGAATTACTCACCTTCCCAACTCTGGGGTCAGATTCTGCATAGTTACAGACATTATTAAGGGTCTGGGAAACAAAAATCTGTGTTTGTTAAAATAACAACTTAGCATTATTGTAGAAACTAAACTAAAATAATTTGTGATTATTTTTTATTATTTGTGTCATTCTTCAGTTACTACGGTGCTAATATATCCCAATTTCTGTATTAAATCACAGTTAAAGGACCACTCTAGGCACCCAGACCACTTCAGCTTAATGAAGTGGTCTGGGTGCCTGGTCCAGCTAGGGTTAACCCATTTTTTTTATAAACATAGCAGTTTCAGAGAAACTGCTATGTTTATAAATGGGTTAAGCCTTCCCCCAAAGCCTCTAGCGGCTTTCTCATTGACAGCCGCTAGAGGCGCTTGCGTGATTCTCACTTTGAAAATCACAGTGAGAGCACGCAAGCGTCCATAGGAAAGCATTGATAATGCTTTCCTATGCGACCGGCTGAATGCGCGCGCAGCTCTTGCCGCGCGTGCGCATTCAGCCGACAGGGCGGAACAGAGGAGGATCGGAGGCAGAGAGCTCCCCGCCCAGCGCTGGAAAAAGGTAAGTTTTACCCCTTTTCCCCTTTCCAGAGCCGGGCGGGAGGGGGACCCTGAAGGTGGGGGCACCCTCAGGGCACTATAGTGCCAGGAAAATTAGTATGTTTTCCTGGCACTATAGTGGTCCTTTAATAGATCCAGGATCCTGAACCAACTAATGATGAATACATTTAGAATTAAAGGAACGCTCCAAGCACCATAACCACTACATCCCACTGTAGAGGGATGTAAGGAGAGCCATATGAACCTCCTAGAATATATAGTCAAATTCTTTTCAAATGGTTTGAGAACTTACATAGTGTCTTCTGGCCAGCGTTTGTCTCCTCTTCTGCTGCTAGAAGCTCCCTGCATTGAGCAATGCTCGGCTGATGGTCTCAGCCAATGAGAGAGCTCTACATGACAAGACAGCTAACAGAAGCAGGAACTTGTCAAACTAGGTTTTTTTCTGCATGGACCGCTAGAGTCACATGAGTTATTTTGTCTTGTCTCCAAGGGCTCATGTCTGCATTTTTTTCCAAATGAATTGTAGTTAATCCAAATTTGGGTCAATCAGCAATTCATCTAAAATTATAAAATTTTATTTACTGCTCCATTTTCTTCAATTGGTTACTTCTCGCTTCATCAGTGAAACAAATGGCGCTCAAATGTGTCTAAATGTGGACAGCAAAATATGTTCATCCTAATCCAAAACTATCACAAGGATTAAATTAGTTTGAACCAAAAACACCACGTTTTTTTTTCCATGGATAAATGTGTGCATGTCTACTAATCATTGTACAGTACAAGGAACGATTGAAGTATAGTCACCTATCAAATGATTACCAACCTAATCCCCAGGGTGCTCCAGTGGGCTTCTGTAATGTGGAACATTCTTATCCATCGCAGTATGTAATATAAATTATTACACAAAATGGACTTCTTCCCTTTATTTTACAGGTCGTACATTATCTGAGACTCCTGTTATGTGAGTAACAAGAAAAATGATTTGCATCAACTTTTAGATTTGTAAATTTTCAACATATAATATAGTGTGCACTGGGAAGCCTTGCACATTTATTTTTTCACTAATCTAAAGAATTCAAAATGTAGTCCACCATTTACTAAATATTGAGGTGCATTATGGCCTTTTGTTAAAATATTACACACTATTTCAAGGGGATCTATGACTCCCTAGGAATTTGAATTACTATATTTACTTATCCGTATATATAATAAATATGTATATTTATCGTGTGAAAAAATACATGTAGAAACAAACACCTTTTTATCGTGGGCACGTCCATATTAGTTCCCTGTCAATCATTTGCACCTGGAAGTCTGCACGGAAAAAGCAGACAGGGAAGAGGAGAAATGAAACAATGTTTCTATTTATTTTCTTCATTTGCATTGTGTGCCCTGGCTGTGCCTTAACAGAAGTCGATTGCAATAACAACGGCTAAATCTTCAATAAAATTTAAAACAAAATGAAGCATTGAATGAAAAAAAAGAGAGATGATATAAGAACTCTGAGAATTTGCAAACGCTTAGAGAAACTTAGTAGCTTGCCCTTCGCTTAGTCCCTGCTCAGGTCTCAAAACGGATTCAGTTAAAAAAAAAAAAAAGGCTACGACTAGTTTTTTTCAAAAGTGCAAATTCCAAAAAGTGACAATTTCCCTTTAATTAATTATTTAAGAAATGTGATGGAATATACATATTTTTCACATACCTTTGTAGTTTTCCACTATAGATATTATCTTATTAGTTTTGTATTTAATCATAATCCATATAACAATTCATAGCCTGACATATTGTCTCCAGGCCTGAACGCATCAAAACACTGACACCAGGATCGTCAAACAAGAGGGAAACAGGTACCACCATCTATGGGGAATGTGTACAGTGTTTTTGTTCTAAACTTTCCTTATATTACATAGTTACATAGCTGAAAAGAGGCACGTGACCATCAAGTTTAGACTTTCTCACATCTGTTTTTGCTGTTGATCCAAAAGAAGGAAAAAAAACAGTTTGAAGTGCTATATGTTTCTGTTTAATAAATGAATGGTAAGGTTCTCATTTCTATCCTTTTTTCATGTTCTCTTTCTGATAATAACACAAGGTGTGATTGTCAAGGACAGCATGCCAGTGTCATGCTTCAATCACACAGTAGAGGGCACTCACAGAGTGCTCTGTACTGTGTGGGCTGGGATATCCCTCGGCTGGCATCAGTTAAGGTTCGGGTTAGTAAAAGTTAATATTGGGGTAGATGTAACATTAGAGTTAGTTAGTGGAGGTCTAGTGTTAGGGGTAGGGTTGGTGTAGGGTTAGCATTTACTACCAAAATTGTATCTAAATTCTACAAATATGAGACATTTAATAATCAGGTCTCATACGTGAATCTATTTTGAGTTATTTTTTATATTTAAAAATAATTATAAGCAAAATTGTGATTTTTTTTTATTTACATGATTTTTAACATTGTATTTATACTTAAAGTTGTAACAGGCATACATGTAGGATATTAAAAGAAAAAACATTTCTGTTTTTCAAAAACAATATAAAATATGTTTTGGGGCACTTAAAGAGAAACCCTTAAAAATGTGGCAGAACAAATTCTAGGTTTTGTTTTGGATCAGGACTTGCATAATCCTTAGGGGTTAAAGAAGAACTATCACTAATTAGTTTTAGAACAGCCAATCGGCCATCAGTACTTATGACATTACCCCTTTATTTTTACTTCATTTTACCTCTTCATTCCTCTTGTTCAGAACCTGCCGGAGATGATGAATTGTGTTACATGGATATTAAAATTCTTTACAAAATAGAAGGTTAGTGCAACTGGCATATTTACCCTGTTAACAAACAGCAATACTGGTTACAACTACATGTCTGTTCGTCCACCCATTGTAAAGCGCTGCGGAATTTGACGGCGCTCTATAAATACCATAATAATAATACTCTGGCACCATTTTAGATTGTAGTCACTCAATGTTTGGATTTTCTTTATAGAGGACTATGAACTAATGCTTATAATAAAACTTGAATTGTTCATGCAGCTTGTAATTCTAAATCAATCAGGAAGTGCACAATATGGAGTTTAACAAAATCTCAAGTGAAGCTCAAACACTTTGAGTGGTATCCCCTAAACCACATCTACAAGATACATAGAAAAACATACATACATAAAGTGGAGCTTTCTGTATACACGTTCAGAAGATATCTGCAATAATATAAATACAGAACACCAATAGTGCAATATTGCTATAACAAATATGCTTTATAAAAAGGTGTGTATGGTATCACTCACAAGTCAAGAGTCATAAACTCCATATGACTCAAATGGTAAGCGCTTGTGGAGAATTCCAGGATGTCCAATCCTCAATTCCACTAGGAACTTGATTTCTTCCTCTCTTTGCAACAATACTGGTCATTCAGTGCTCCCAATATTGGATGTGTGTATATAGGGTACCACAGCCAGAGTCTCATAAATAGTGATGTCCCGAACGGTTCGCCGAACGGTTCGCCACGGACCACGAACATATGCGCTGTTCGGTCCGCCCCCTATGTCATCATCATTGAGTAAACTTTGACCCTGTACCTCACAGTCAGCAGACACATTCCAGCCAATCAGCAGCAGACCCTCCCTCCCAGACCCTCCCACCTCCTGGACAGCTCACTAAGAATGCAGCTTCACAATGAATGTAAAATGGATGCTGTCCAGGAGGGAAAATAAAATCTCCCATGATTTGCCACCATTTACAAAAGATGCCAGTGGCAACAGGAAGCACGGATGTTAAACCACTGGTACTATTTCATAACATTTTATGACCCTGCATTATTAGTCACATGGTTCATTTAGACTCATAAATTTGCAATGTATATTATAGGTCTGCTTATAAAAACACAGTATGTTACCTGGATGCAGGCAGACCTGTGAGGGCATAGGTAGTACTCCGGAATTCTTTTTATAGTTAAATACAGATTAAATAATACTAATAACTCTATATATTATGGTATTAAAGGACTAAAATAGAATTATTTTCTTTTGTTCACCTTATCCTTTCAGATTTACCAGCGATGAAAGCTGATAATGTGAGTATTTAGGATTTTATGAAGTCAATATATCTCGAAGACAGACGCAACTCTGAAACATACTATCTGCTCAGAAATTAAGCTTTCCAATGGAACACAAGCAGCACTCTGTCGCCACCCAGTGGTTAAGAACAAATTGCTCCAGTAACAAGATATACACCTTTTTAGATGAGGCATGATGCCTCCTGAAGACTTTGCAAGACATGTATTATTCCTTATAAAATAGATACATACATATTATAATAACAATATAGTAGTGCTGTTCTCTACCTAGTAACAAATATAACATATAAATATCCGAGATATATTGGTGGTTGCTACTCTAACACAACAAATAGGAAACAAAACAAGCAGGCGCACTGATTGGCTTTCCAAGCATGTAAAACGTAATGTTACAGCAAAACAATTAAATTGTCAACTCTACAGGGGTTGATCAAGAGGTGACAAGTAGACAGACAAATCTAACCATAATCCACATTGTGTCTGGATCCATTAATTCACATTGTGTCTGGCTCCGTTTATTCACATTGTGTCTGGCTCCATTAATGCACATTGTGCCTTGCTCAGTTTATTCACATTGTGTCTGGCTCCGTTAATTCACATTGTGCCTGGCTCAGTTTATTCACATTGTGCCTGGCTCAGTTTATTCACATTGTGTCTGGCTCCGTTAATCCACATTGTGTCTGGTTTCGTTAATTCACATTGTGTCTGGCTCCGTTAATTCACATTGTGTCTGGCTCCGTTAATTCACATTGTGTCTGGTTTCGTTAATTCACATTGTGTCTGGCTCCGTTAATTCACATTGTGTCTGGCTCCGTTAATTCACATTGTGTCTGGCTCCGTTAATTCACATTGTGTCTGGTTCCGTTAATTCACATTGTGTCTGGCTCCGTTAATGCACATTGTGTCTGGTTTCGTTAATTCACATTGTGTCTGGCTCCGTTAATTCACATTGTGTCTGGCTCCGTTAATTCACATTGTGTCTGGTTTCGTTAATCCACATTGTGTCTGGCTCCGTTAATTCACATTGTGTCTGGTTTCGTTAATCCACATTGTGTCTGGCTCCGTTAATTCACATTGTGTCTGGTTTCGTTAATTCACATTGTGTCTGGCTCCGTTAATTCACATTGTGTCTGGTTTCGTTAATTCACATTGTGTCTGGTTCCGTTAATTCACATTGTGTCTGGTTTCGTTAATTCACATTGTGTCTGGCTCCATTAATTCACATTGTGTCTGGTTTCGTTAATTCACATTGTGTCTGGTTTCGTTAATTCACATTGTGTCTGGTTTCGTTAATTCACATTGTGTCTGGCTCCGTTAATTCACATTGTGTCTAGTTTCGTTAATTCACATTGTGTCTGGCTCCATTAATTCACACTGTGTCTGGCTCAGTTAATTCACATTGCACCTGGCTTCATTAATTCACATTGTGTCTGGCTCCGTTAATTCACATTGTGTCTGATTTCTTTAATTCAATTTGTGTCTGGCTCCGTTAATTCACATTGCACCTGGCTTCATTAATTCACATTGTGTCTGGCTCCGTTAATTCACATTGTGTCTGGCTTCGTTTATTCACATTGTGTCTAGCTCCGTTTATTCACATTGTGTCTGGTTCCCTTTCACAGTCTGTTATCTACTCAACGGTGAAGAGAACAGAGTCATACCAAGCGACACCTGAATCTCATAAGAGCCTCTATAACAGTCTCAGCTCAATGTAATCCTCCCACATTATTCATATTTCAGCAACAGAAAGGATAACATGCTGGGTTATTCACTGCTCACTGTCTTCCAGAAGGATTCTGGCTTACCTCTTCTCACTGTTTATACTACAAGCAAACCATGTCATGCCATGTGTGGACACTTACAGAGAT